TCGATTAAAACTAAATTATATTGCCATGTTTTACTATGTGTTAGAACATGGAAAATGTATTGTGCTACCATGTCCTTTGTCATACAGTCGACAGATATTACGTTAACATACTCCTGAAAAGGTAAAATGATTGATGAGAAAGAAGGTATCAGTTGACAGTGGTTGATAACAATGCATCGTTACCAACATGACATACGCGATTGCTTCGACTCGTGTGGTTACGTTACGTTACGTTACGAAGGCACCGAGGTGTCGCAAGCTGCAGTGATAATGAAAGACGATATTGCAGAATTTAATTGCCAGGATGTGTCGACGGAATCTCCCCACCATAGAGGTGGGATATAAGGCACCATTTTACAACTTACAGACTACAGAGCTAGATAACAACGATGTTTTCGTCTTGCTACAATTCTACAATGGTTGTCGAGTTACACTTGCCACGCGGGTCAGTTCAGGCCATAGAAGACTACCAGCCAAGTACAAAACAATATTAGTGTTTTAAATGGCACAGCAATAGTATATGGGTTATCAGATATCACTACAACCATGTAAACACATACTGTACAAGCCTACAATAGCATTGTTAAAAGTTCGATATTACCAATCAAATTGATTGATTACACAAATTGTAACCGGCTGTCCACTGAACCATCTCCTATTTACACGACAAGAATAAAAGCAACTGTAAGTCATCAACCTCATTTGCGGAAATCGTTTTTCCAGTAATTTCGTATTTTACGCACCTCACTACAAAATTATCCCAAAAATTCCCGGTTTATTACTTATCATGATTATGTTTTTGATTGTTGAAATGGTATCAAGACAAACGCTCCAGGGCAATTGCCCCCAAGACAATCGTCCCCGGACAAATGCCCCCACCCCAAACGCCCCGGACAAATGCCCCCGCACAATTATTATTTGTTATTTTTTGCAGTGATTGACTATTACCGGTCGTCGGCAAACACTTGCTTTAATACGTGAATTTATAATAAGTTGATAAATTAATAAGTTTACAACTAGGTGTTGTCGGCAATCA